TTTAATTCTACAACAAATTGGATTATAATCAAATAAGCTAGGCAAAGAAACTTAGTGAGATCATATGAATTTCCTTATCAACATTAGCTAACAGCCAATAGGAACGAAACGATAAATTTTATTAATAAAGATATAATTATTAATTAAGATTAGATTACAATGCAACATCCAAAAAGTGTCAAGGGTAATAGGATATTTAAAATTTGTATTGGATAATTAGGATATATTATGATTAAAAATATAATATTCAAAAGAGTTAAGGATAATATTAACCATGGAAGAGGGCATGATAGTGGAACAATCATAATAATCTCCGAATAGAATGAGAAATGACATAACATGAGCGATATTAGTCTAACTCTACTATTTACTTTAATGTTCTTAGTACCCAAGTTATTTTCTTTTGGTTGGATGAATATGTAGATGACACATTCCTATCATTCTTAATTACTATAGTTGAATATGTAGATGACACATTCCTATCATTCTTAATTACTATAGTTAAAGATTTTTGTTATAGGTAAAAAGTTCACATGGATCAATATGCATAACTTTGTAGCTCATTCTGTCATAGTTGGTACAGAAGAGATAACGTTCAACAACCTAAAACTCTCATCTATAATTATCTCAAAGAAGTGGTGGTGATACTAAAGTCTAAAGCGAGCGAGAATGTGCAATCGAAGAGTAGGTAGTCACATTATCATCCTGCGAGTAAAGAAAACCATAATAAATTTTAATTTTTGTATGTGTTAAGATTAAAAAAGAAAGACTTATTTATATATATACCTCTTAAACCATGCATATTTGCAAAAATACCTCCAAATCTTAGTATTAACGAAATTGTCCCTAATCATCAATTGTAGAAGAAAAGCATATCCCTACCCCTCTTCACAAACCAATTCATATTAAATCCTAACTAGTCTTTCATTTCAGTTCTAAAATCTTGAATTCACTAATCTCCACATAAATGAAAATTTTGTTCTTTTTGTGGGCTTCAAAACTAAAGGTCTGACAAATATCAAAATTGGTAACATTTTTATTTACATTTCATAAAGACAACAAACACCAAGCATTGTATCATTACTATACCTTATTACTTAATGACAACCTAAAACATTACAAATATTCATAATAAATTATTGTCAATCTTTAATTTTAGTCTTACAGCTCCAGTTTGACTAGTTTTTACATTAGACAAAATATTATTGTTTTAGGACGAAGTTCCACCAATTCCGTGGAATGAGTCGATGAAATAGGCTAGAACCAAATATGGTAAACTGCTCAATTAAAAATTCCGATTCAATAAATAAATAAAACTTATAGTTCAAAACAATATACCGAAAAATACCATTATTGCTAAATACAAAATAGTATACTACCACCGAAAAAAGTTAGTTTATGATTTATAATAGAACTTATAGGATGTTGCATCTCTGGTCCATCAAATTTAGGGTAATTCTCATACTCGCTCGTTGAATCATAACCTAAAAACCCGTCCAAATTTCACAAACAACATATACCAAACATTATAACTAACACAATAAAAAATTATGTGAGTTAACTATTGTTGGCTAAAGATAACATCTAATAATTGTAGCAAATAATTTGTAATATGATCACAAAAACTGTAGGATACAATAGAGAAGAGACATCATATTTTACCTCCATAAGTAAGGTGATGTATAACACATAAGGGTGTTGCTGACCAGTCCATTGGCGGGATAGCTTCATTTTTCTTATTCTCACCATTCAATAGAGCATGCTAAATCAACTAAAAGACAAAACATCAATTAATATCTCAATTTGACTTGCGTACTTTTATTATTTAGGAAAGGATATAACCTAAGAAACAAATAAATTTATAAGAAACCATATTAATCTTAACCGCATATTTAACTAATTCGGGCCTTAGAAGCATCATGGGTCCTGGTCTTGGGCACCAAAGATAGCTTTTGCAACAAATCGATAACATCTGTAATTCAAAAACCCTAAAAGAACACTAATCATCTACTCATCAAAACTCTTACTTTTTTTTTCTTATTGCTTTGAGCACAAAATTAATAAAAACTCTACTCAACGCGTAAAGACTCTTTCAAATTTAAACAATGACATATAATCAAAAAAATAAAAAAAGAAATGTCAAATCAATACTCAATCAATAAAAAAATTCTGTAAAAGTTTTATAGAAATCATAAACCCACATCTTAGATTAAATATCTAAACATAAACTCTAAGAAAATCATAAACCAACAAACCCATCACAAATCTTTCAAGAATAGAACACCCAAAACAAATCAAGATCTAAGAAGAAATAAAAAAGAAAAAGAAAATGAAAGCATACATTCATTGCAGGAGTGACAACCAAAAATTCAAACCCTAGGAGAAAAAAACAATCGCCGCAAAGAAGTGGAGAAAACTCTTTCGATTCCATAAAAAGAGAGAGCTCTTTTTAGAGGTGGTGTGGGAGAGTTATTTATCTGAAATTGAGGTATTCAATAATTGGTAAAGATAGTTGTGGGTAAATATTAGTGTATAGATTAAGATGAGAATGTAATTAAATTTCTTAATTCCAATATAATCTAAATACAATTTGTTTCTTTATCTTTATACTATGTATATCTATTAAGAATTTATTAATTTCCCTGGCTAATGATGGATTAGCATTAAAAATTAAAATTTGATTAGTGATAGGATAGTTCAAACTTTATAGGGGTATTTTTGTCTACCGAAAGATTTTTCCGAACTCGTACTTTTAAAGGAAGTATGATTTGTTATGTTATTTAATATGCATTTAAATGAGTAGCTTTATGTTCGGAATAGTGCCTTCTTTGATGAGTAGCTTTGTGTTTAGAGTAAACAAATTATAATCCTCAGTTCACCATATGTCATAGAGCAAGGAGGACATAAGATAAGCTTTAGTGAAATTAATTGTAAGCAATTAAGAAAGATATGATAATGATTAACTTTAGGAAAAAGTGATCCTAATGGAGCTGAATAAAAGAAGACAAGCTTTGTTCTTGTTGTAACCTTCACCATAATTTTAGATTTTTGACGTAATTGAAGAGACTTTAAAATGATATCAAGACAACAAGTTCAAATCACACCTACATGCATTTAAAGTGGAAGTAAAAGGGTACTTTTGCATACACAATTCGTGTTTTTCATGCAAAAAGATCTCTCAACCAGTAGGGATATTGTAGAGTACAAACACTGTAATGCTCAATTTTCACCGCGGTTATTTTTGCTTTTTGTTTTTTGTTTTGTGTGTGTGTGTGTTTTTTTTTTTGTGATATGGGAATCGAACCCGAGACCTTGGAAGCCATATTGGAACTTCCCAACCATTTAGATCATCCATGGTTCCCCTGGTTTTAGAGTCTTAATCCGCACTCGAAATGTACATGTTAAATTTGTACGGTAACTTGTGAACATGAATGTTCTATGCCATGAATCTTAATGTTCTACTAAACTCTCTTTTCTTTTTCTTTTGTTTTCAGGCTCCTCCTGGTACTGCTAGGAGGAGGAGGAGACCAGAATCAAGGAGGCAGTTTGCAGAGTTGGCGGGAGCCAGAGCGAGCCCTCCTGGATTTGGAAGCAAGAATTGAAGCTAAACAATGATGCAGTGGCTATTGACATAGTCAGCACTTACATCTTTTTGCTGCAATGTTGGTTTTGTTTTCTCTGTTTTGTACTTACTATTTGAAGATATTCCTTGAACCTTCGTTGTGGAATGATTCAATAATGTAGAGTGTAATGACAAGTTTGTTAAGAAAATGCATCTCAAGCTCTTGTTTCTCTCATACAATCAAGCCCTTAAAAGACCTTAAGTGAAGCTGAGCTATATAGATGGACAAGCGGTTCTCTGCTTTAATAAGGTTGGGATATTTGGGATCACTTGTTGTTTGTTTCATTCGAAAATTGTGGGCCATATATAAGGGACTGCATGATGTAACATTTGGTTTTGTTGTTCCTCATGTCAGTTCTACTTGTTTAGCTCTCATAGAGGGGGAAAAATCAGAAAACTCGTGCTAGGAGAAAACAAATTAAGAGCTCAAGCGGAATTATTATTATTTTTGTTTGAGGAATTGAAGATCAACTCAATTCAGCGATTCAATTAAAGAGCCTCTTAGACAATGAAGTACATTTGTATCTGATAGCTTACTGGGCTAATTTGCATGCACAGGTATTGATCATTCATTGAACACGGATAGGTGTTTAAAACTTTGGATAGTGACCAACAATCTCCCATCTTGCCCGAGAGTTTGCAGTGGGGTGAGACAATCTGTTTCCATGAGAATGTTGTTCCGACCATTTAAGTGAGCAAGGCGAAGGCCCGTGAGAACAGCCTGGGCTTCACACTCCAGGGAGGACAGAGGGGGATCGGAAGCACAGAAGGAGAGGACGTGGCGTCCTAGATAGTCTCGAGCAATTATTCCAACCGATGATACATCCATCGTCCACATTGACCTTTACCACATTTACCGATAGGGGTGTCGATTCATTATGCGCTCCTGTGTTCGTCGTTCTTGGCGACTGCACATATGCATATAGACTTTCGAAAGCACGAGGGTGGATGTCAAGGACTTACTTTGCGCCTGCAAAGATGGCGCCGCATCTGGGTTTCCAAATGAACCTTGAGGTAACTGCAGCGAGGACAAATGTTGATAGGTTGTGGTCGGGTTTATCATGTGGTGGTGCTTCATCCAATATAGGACAGTTTAGCTCACTCCAAATTTTGCTAAGTGCAAGTACAAGAGATTAAAGACATGACGATAAACCTTCCATCTTCATCCACAACTTGGTCCTTGAATTTGGGCTTTTTATAGAGTAACAATAGCAGGCGTCCAAATTATAGCCCATAAGACGTAGCGCAAGCATATAAAGCCCCAAGCCATTCGGCTTAACTTCTGTATATGGGCTTTTTTAAACGATCCAAATCCAAGCTAGAAAAACGAAGCCCAATCATATATAAAACCATGAACCCTCG